CGGTTGTTCCATTATGTATAGATACAAACAGAATAGCCGTGGATCATTTAATCCTGTACCAGAACTATTGAAACGCAGATGTCAGTAAAATAACGTATCTCTGGTGACTTGTCTACCTGTCTCCCTCACTGCTGAGAAAGAACTCGCAGCAGCAGGTAAAGCTGACAGTAAACACAGGCATTGACCGGTGGGAATGAACTTGCTTGACTATTGACAAAAATCTACGGTGATGCAACCTGCGCTGGGCTCACTGCTGTATGACAGCGGCGGGCGACGAGCGACCAAAGCCCCTGGCTGATGAAAGTGTACCTGTTTCTGAGCAGAGAGGTCACATTGTCCAAAGAAGAACCAAGGCTTGGCTTTGATGTGAGCATGCACTGAGTGGGTACTTTGGCGGCCTCCCCCTTCCTCTCACTCCGGAACGGGGCAGTTAACAAAGATCAAATTCAGGGCTGAAAGCTGAAAGCAGCCTCGGGCTAGTCCCCGCCCCCTGCAGGGCGAGCTGGAGGGCGAGGTGCCCCTCCCCCCTATTCTCCTCGCTGAGCTAGAGGGCAGGTCTGGGAAGCAGCCACTTGCAGACTCGGTGCGATAGGACACCAAGGAGAGTGGCTCAGAGCCCCAGGGCTTCAGCGTACAGCCCCCTCAGAGGCCTGCCCGGCGGGCCGCCCAAAGGGAGACACGGGAAGGAAGGCAGTCTTCGGCAGAGGGCACTCAAGTCCTAGGAATCTGTACTCAGCAAACCCACGCGTTTGCTCGGTGGTTTCCCTGGGAAGCGGAGATCATGAATCTCAGTAACTCGAGCCCAGGGCCTCATCACTCACCGTGATTGTGGGGGGATTGAAAGCAGGAGTGGATTAGTCTAAACAACACACGCACACACAGGGGACTCGTCCAAACGAGCTGCTAGGCCACCACTGGGGTCCCCTCCCTCACCCGCAGAAGCAGGGAAGGTTTCGGGGAGGGAGCTGATAGTCTTCAGTTCTTCCACGGAGTTCTCCTTCCTCCCCTTCCAAGCCCCCCCCCTCTCCATGCCCCCTCTTGTGAACCGGTGGGAGATATGAATCTGGCTGGCAGCGACTTGGGCCAGCTCAGCCGTTTTTCGGGGATGTTAATGAAATGCGGGAGCACTTGTCCTTTTAGACAGCGGCCCCTTTTATTTGGGAATGAAAAGCTGCATTAGTCTGAATGAGGTTTGGAGGCCTCATAAATCCGGCGCTGGCTGCCTCGTGGGGGAGTGGGGAGCCGAGCGGAGGCCTGGCTGGTGAGTAGACTTGTTTACCAACAATGCAAAAAGCTGAAAAGCCAGGATTGGCGGCTCCCAATCCCCAGAGATGCTGCTTGAGTTAGTGCCAGCCCAGCGGGTGCCTGTTGATGGCAAAGCAGCATTTTGAGGCGAGGTAGGAGCGCCCCAGTTAGCCCAGTCAAGAGCCCAAATCCTATTCCATTCTTAGTCATTCTACAGGCAGCCAGGGGACGTAGTCGGCCACTGGCAGAGATGGTGAGGGCCTGCCTGTTCAGCCCAGGCAGTGTAGGACTCAAATAGGCTTTCATGTGAATCCTGACTGCACCCACAATGACTGCAAACAGAGATACTCAATAAATATGTATTAAAGGAAGGAGGAAAGGGAGGCTGGCCACATCCTAACTGTGACTTTGAACTTCTTTACTTCTTTGAGGCTCAACATTTTCATCTGTAAAATGGGAACATAATACAGATCCTATCACAGTAGCTTCTCGAGAGAACTAGACAAGATGATGCAGGAAAAGCATTGAATAAACTATCTGAATCATAGAAAACACATAATATATGCTATTGGGTATTATCATTGTTTTTATTATGCATCCCAAGCTCTCTTAGGATCAGAATGGAGCAGGTTGCTGTCTGGGAAATCTATGACACAAAATTGTTTGCAGCAAGGTCAAGAATAAGGCCCAGTTCCCGGCTGTAGATGGTCAGTTTCCTTCTGACCCCAGGGTTCCAGCTGGCTGCCAATCTCAGCAAATGGAACCCACAGCCTCCTGAAGGTTTGAGAACTGTTTCCCACTAAAGTTAACAGTATAATGGGGAACCCTTACTCACTCAAGATTTGGTGCAACTTCCCTAGGGGTGGGCTGGGTGGTCTCAGATTCTCGCTTTGTCTCCTTCCATTCACTTTTCTAGTACAATTCTCCGGTTGCGCTGGTGTTTTAGGAAGCTGCACCTCCCTCTCTTACCCTTTATGCCTCTCTGTTAAGGAGTACACATTTGCCCTTCCCCCAAAGCCACACCTCTACACTTCAGCTTCCCCAGACTTTTCCTGTACCCCACCCCTTCCTGGTAAGGGTTTGCCTTCAGGGTACCCCATACAGGATTAGTGTCCAGGCTCCACCCACTACCTCCTTGGGTGCAGTGATGTTTTTGTGGCTAAGTGCTGTCAAGTCAGTTCCGACTCTTAGAGACCTTGAGGTTTAGCAGTCCAGTACTTATCCTACTTATCCTACAGACTTCAGGTGTGGTGCTGTAGGATCACACCAGGAGTCTGTAGGATCAGCACTGGACTGCAAACGACAAGATCAACAGTTCAAATCTACCAGGTGCTCCTCGGAAACCCTATACAGGGTGGATGTGAGTTGGAACTGACTCCAAGGGACTTAACAACAACAAAGCCTTATCCTACAGCACCACACCAGGACTCCAGTAGAGGATGCCTTTGGAGCCAAGCAACCTTTGCCTAGAGTTCAGGTCCTGACCAGTTCTCCATCAGGGCACTGCAGTTGTCTTCTTAGAAAACAGTTAGTCCTTTGGGTTCCTCGGGACAACCAACCCAGCTGTAAAAGCTGATGGATGGTAGAAAGGAGGTGTGGAGCTTTGAATGAAGAAGCACCTTGCTTTATCCTGGAGGGTGGAGGACTTCTGATCCCTTCTCTGCACTTCCTCTTTACTGGTGCCCACTGGGACCCATAACTTTCTATCAAGAGGTGGCAGCTGCTGCTTCTCGGGCTTTGGTAGGCATGTCCTTTCCTGTGGTCCCGTGGGCAACACTGCTTGAGCAACTAGCCACTCCTGCTCCAGGGTAAGGGAGGCCCAAGGATGGCTAAGACAGCCCCCACCCCCAACCCACCAGGAGCTTCCATTTGCTGGTGCTCTTCAAAGATGCCCTCAAGGCAGGCACACCTACTTCCCTTCATGTACTCAAAAGCCCAGACCTTCTCTTCTCTTCTCCCATAGCCACAGTAGCCTCCACTTTGGGTGGGAAGGGAGTTCCCTTCTAATTGGCAGGATTGCCCACACCAAGCTATACACATTTCCGCACAATGCCATGATCCCCTGCACCCAGGCAGGGAGGATAAGAAAAGACAGGGGAGTTATCAGGAGGGATAGAGCTGGAGAACAGTATATTTGTAAGAAAATTAAAGATTTGCTCTTTAGATGTTGGGGGCTATGCTCTTACCAGACAGCTGGCAAATGGGAGAGATTGGGAATGATGGAAAGGACCAAATTATTTAAATGAGAAAAATAAATTCACACACAGCCTAACCCGCTGGACGATGACAGATCCGTTTATTTATCAACTGTATCTGCACCGCTTTGTCTTTGTCAAAAAGGTCATTAAACTCGCCTAAAAGCGTAATTCTCAGTCTCCTGCTCCAGCCTAGTTCCACAGCCCTTCCCTCCCTTCCACACCCAACGCCACTTGAAAACAAAAATTATTACTGCTCATAAATAAGGATTTAAAAAACAAACAAAAACCCTTCCCAGCTTGCTCCTTCATGGGTCCTGCTCTGTCTCACGTATAATTACAGGTTCCCTTTATTTTTTCTCAGAAGGAACAGGGAAGGGAGCATCCCAGTCCGTCCAGCACAGTTCAGGAAGAGGGATGAGAAGGACCAGGGCCCATCTCATACTCCACATTGGATCGAAAGGGTTAGCCACCTTCCCCCGCAGCCCCTAAGGTTGTGAAGCATGGTCAAACCAGGCCTTCCACACACACGGTTTGGCCTCGGCTCTCCCAGCCCGTCCAGCTCCTGTAGCTTCCCTCTTTCAGTATGGGCAATTCTCTTTGAATTCTGTCTCCGCCAAACCCCAGCCCCACGCCTGCTTCCACGTGAAAAGGGAGTAAGGAGGGAAATCGGCTCCCAGGTCAGTCTCTGGGCGCTGCCGTCCAGCCAAAGGCCGCGGCGTGCGAACTGGAAGGCTAGACTCCTCAGACGGCGGGTACCGGATTCCTCTGCTCCTGGCGGGCGTCTCCTCCAGCTAGTTGGGCCGCTGGGCTGCCGCCGTTTCCCAGCTCGCGGTGCCAGCTCTCGCGCTCCACGCCGGGTTCCCAGGATCCAAGCCCTAGTAGTTAGACACTGGGGGCGGATAGGGACGTCTGGGAAGCGAGAAGAGTCTTGGTTTCTCAGGGCGTCCCCTCAAACCAGGCTCAGGGTCCCTGTCTCCGCCCCCCGCGCAGGTGTGAACGCGCAAGTGTGTGCCTCGGCGGGCGTGAGTGTGAAGTGTGTGCGCGGGGGAGTGCGCGGAGGGAGCGCGGGCGGCGCGGGAGGCGGGAGGCGGAAGGCGGGAGGCAGGGCGCGGGGGAGGGGGCTGGGAGGGAGAGTGTGCGCGCGTGCAACTCCACTCCGGGGCTTTGTGCGAGCCCGGGCGATAGCATCGGCGGCGACTAGAGGAGGAGCGGCCGGAGACGCGTGCAGCGCGCCCGGCAGCCGGGGCAGGTGGGAGCCCGCGCGGGAGCCGAGCCGACGCGAGCCGGAGCCGAGTCCGAGTAAAGCCCGGGTGGAGCCCAGGAGCCTCGCTCACAGGCGGCCCGTGGGCGGCTGCCGGGCGGGGCGGTCGCCGGCAGGGCGGCCCCCCAGTAAGATGTTCGCGGCGCCGCGGGGTGCCCCCCATTCGCAGAGGCGCTCGGGAACTCGGCGGCTGGGCCAAGCGGCGCCTCGGGGGCTGCAGCGCGCCCGCGCCTAGAGCTGCCGCCCCAGGGAGCCCGCCACGGCCGCGCCCCGGGCACACTCGGCGGCGCCCAACGATGACCGCTCCCTGGCGGCGCCTCCGGAGTCTGGTTTGGGAATACTGGGCCGGGCTCCTCGTGTGCGCCTTCTGGATCCCGAACTCGCGCGGGATGCCCCACGTCATCCGGATCGGTAAGAGCTCCGTGGAGCCCAGGGTCTCGGTGCTCCTGGGCGGGGGCGGGACTGAGGGGCCTCGGAACGCGATCCCGAGTAGTCTCCCAGCCTTTCTCTGGGCCCCTGGGGCCGGCTAACCATCAGGAGCTGCTTCCGGGGAGGACAAAGTTCCGAAGCCAGGGTCACGGGCCTTACTTATTGGGGAGGAGACCGCCGGGCCGCAATGGGCTAGGGACCGGTGGCGCGCTCCTGGGATCTCAGACCTGGCGAACTGTGACGACGGGTTCTAATGCCAACCCAAGTCACGGGCACAATTCCCAGAGACTACCAGCACGACTGGCCGCAGACCGAGTTCTGGGACCCCGCTTCTCCGCGAAGCGGGAACCTTGGGGAAGGCGCCAACTTCTGTTTCCTCTTCGCTCCCGGAGGGCTCCTCGCCCTACTTGGGGCAGGGCTCGAACGTCCTCCGCGGGGACTCAGGGTGTGGATTCGCAGGAGGAGGGCAGCGGGTCTCCACTCTCCGTGCCCACCATCGGTCTCAGTGGCTCCCATGCAGACCCGAGGCTTGGGGCAGGGAGGGATAGTACTTCCCCCCTGCTCCTTCGTTTCTCCCGTCGGGGCCGAAACCTTTCTCGCTCAAGGGTGGGGGGAGCGCCGGTGGGGGATGGGCGCGACGGATCCCGCTCAGCGCACAGAGGACCCGCGGCGAGGGGGAAGCGAGTGATTTTGAAAGTTAACCGAAATCTCTCCGTAGCTGGCGGTGGCTGGCGGAGCTGCGCGCGCCTTTCTGGGACTCGTTGAGTCCTCCACTCAGCTCGCGGGAGACTGCCAATCCGGGCTTTAACTTTGTTGTGGCCGCCCCAAGCACCCTGCGGGCAGCGCTCTGGGCTGCGCAGGGGGCCACGTGTGTCCGCGGCCTGGGGCTGTCAGGGCTGCGCCCTGGCTAGTAGGGCTGGGCCCAACCGGGCCACGCAGGAACCGCCGCCATAGCTAGTCCTGTGTCTGCCTCGAGGCCAGGAACCTCGGCCACCTGGCTTCCCGAGGTGTCGCTGCCAGCTGCTGGTGTGCAGAACTTGGTGGAGCCAGGGCCACCTTCCTCCCTTGTGGCTCTTCTCCAGACGCGGACCCGCGGTTTGAGGAGGTTCTGGGAACTAAAGTCCGTTTGGGCTCCGTACTTGAGATTTTCCTAGTCGGCGGACAGAACCCCTGGAGGGCTGTCTCCGCCCTGCTCTCTCCCCAGAGCCCTGCCCTGGACTTTACGTTTCAGTTCTACCCAAGCAGGACCCATCAGTCCATGCCCAGGACCTGGCAGGAGGAATCCTGGAAGCAGAGCCCTCCATGCACGGGAGGGGACTCTGGGGACAGACCTCCCGGTCAGACTTAACCCTTTACAGTCTTCATTGCTCTTGGCAAACCAAAAATGTTTCTATCTGTGTGCCTTTTCCAGCACCTAGCCTCCTCACCATTCCAGGGGCAGACAGCCCTAGTAGTGACATTCCCTTTATTCCCTCTCTTCTTCCCTCTTTGTGGGGGAGGGGTCTCCGTGACAGAGTGCCCTTGGAAGAGAAGAGGGGAGGACCCAGAGAGAGCTGTGTGCCCAGCCCACGCATTGCAGGTCCCTCTTCCCTGCTCTTATCTCCGCAGGGCCTAGGGTAAGCCTGTTCCCAGCCCTGTCGCAAGGATGAAGGTTTAGGGGGGACCTTGAAAGACAGGAGCAGGTAAGGGCAGTCCCTGTGGGACAGAATGATGTATCCTCACCTGCCCTCTCTTACAGTGAAACTGAGTTGCTCTGAATGGGGGGCAGCAGCGAGTACGTAGCCCTCATTGCCCTGAAGGGTAGGTAGCACATCTCCAAGACTGCCCGCCTTTTCTTGGATTCCGTGTGTAGTAATGCAATTAAATGATGGCAGAATCCTCCTCTCTTCTAATCTTCTTCGTATTAAGCCCCAGGATTAATTAGCATGTAGGCCCAGGCCATTTATATTTCCCAAGCCCTGCCCCGTTTGATTCCCAGCCCGCAGAGTGATGCCAAACGTGACCACTGGAACTGGGCCAGTTTGGGCGGAGGCTGGGAAGGCTTTGAGGTCTCTGGGCTTCTCCAGAGGTTCCTGGGGAAGGAAGCTTCAGTCCTTCAGAGCCCAGACTGGAGTCCCAGTGGGAGCCAGGGAGCTCCAGTGGACTCAGCCAAGAGACAGTCTCAAACTGCAACCCAAATACAACCTCTTGGCTGAGACAGGTGCCACCTCCCTTATCCCATTCCTTCCCACCCTTGAGATCTCAGGGGTCTGACTGGGGCTGTGGGGATTGTGCCCCTGGAAAGTGGGCTCCGGCATGTGCTGGGTGTTTCTGTTTTCCATGCTGGATGCTGGTGCCTGTTCAGGCTGCGCTTGGAGCCTAGCAGGCAGGCATCGCTGAGCTCCATCCAGCCTGGGAGAGAGGATTTTCCTGCAGGTGCGAAAGGGGTTTTCTGGGCTGGGGAGCATCGTATCCACCCCTTCTCTTTGTGCCTCTTTTGGGGGCTGAAATTTCCTTTTAGACAAGGAGATGGATCGCTCAGCAGTGTGACAGAGTGTTCAAACAATCTGTCTTGAATAGATGAATTGCATTGCTCTGTCTTTTTGTAATTGTGTCTATCAGAGGGAGAGGTCAAGGCATTGATTGCTTGGATGGTTTGCAAGTAACAAAGGAGAGCGAGGGAGAGAGCGAGGGAGAGAGAGTAATTGGATTGTAGTCTGTGGAAAAAAAAATGATCATTGATTATTTTATATGACTATGTGGAAGATGTATTCTGTGTATGATTATCAAGTGTTGCTCACTGAAGGTTTTCAGGGCATATTGTTCAGCATTTTGTTATTCTTATTATCATCGTTGTTATTGTTCAGATGGGTCTTGATCTTAACTCATAGAAAGCATTTTAATGCATGGATCCTCTCAGTCAAATGGGATTCGGGGGCCTCTTGTTGGGACCTGGATTTCCTGATTACATGACCTAGAAGACCAATTGGAGAGGGCCCTTGGCTGGGAGCCAGGAAGCCTGGGTTATCTGCTCTGTTCTGCTGCCAGTTTACTGGGCCACCTTGGTCAAATTACATACCTGCCACTGAGCCTCAGTTTCTCCATTGATGAATTGTTGGGCTGACCTTGATGGTTTGGGATACTCTATGGTTTCAAAGTTCCTTGTGGTGCAGGCTGGCGGGGACTGTCAGCGCCATTGTAGATTTCACCGTTAGATCCTTCTTCACATTGCACACTGTAGGATGGAGGGCCAGACTGGAATTTGAAAAGGAAGCAGACAGCAGTGGCAGCAGCTGGGGAAGGCTGGCAGGCTCTTCTGTGTGATGGGGATTCTGAGTGGACAGTGGAGAGGTTTGAAGCCAAATGACTGCGAGACATTAAGCAGGTGTGTGTGGGGGTGGGGGTGGTGTAGGGTGGGAGGGAAGGGCTGGCCCAACTCTGGACTTTTCAAATATCTACAGATCCAACAGGACAGCATCCAGATCTTGGATACACTGGGGCCCCGGAGTGGTGAGGGCAGGAGCCCATCCCAGGGGAGTGAGTGTCCCTTCCCCAGAGTTCCCAGACCAGCTGGGTCCCAAGTCCCCAGATCAGTTCCATTGATTGTCCTGAACATTCTTCGGTCTCCTGAGTTTGGGAACCACTGCATGTAAAACAATGAGAAAATTCTCTCCGTGACTGGCGATGCGCTGAAACATCGATGTAGTAGAGCAGACAGGAGCTGAATGAAGATCAATAGGGGTTTCCCCCCTGGAAGTAAATAGCTTCAGACAAGACCTGGGAGTGGCCCCTAGGGGCCCTAAAAAGCATTAACTTGAGGAATCTCTGCCTCCACTTTGCAGCCCAGCTGTTTGTGTCAGCCCTTGCATACCTCCTTTTCCTGTTGAAGTTTAATTTCTTCTCCATCATGCCCGCCTTTCGACTTCAAGATGACCTGGGGTTTTAGAAGTTGCTTATGCCGGTTGAGGCAGGCACCCTGGCCTGACCGGACTCTTCCAAGGTCAGCCCTGTCCCCTGTGACTGGATGCAGTGGCAGACGTCAGAAGTTCAGCCCATTGTGCTCTTTATCCTTTGTACCCTGTCAGGAATGCAAGACTGCTTGATGACACCCCAGAGCCTCCCTGGAATCCCCACAGGCATTGTGTCCCAAGCCCTGGGAACTGAGCTCCTCCTCCTCTTGGGGAGATAGGAAGTCACAGGACTTCTTTGCTGGACTGCTTTGGATGGCCTTGAGGAGACCAGGTTGTGCTCAGCATTAAGGACTGTTTCTGATCTACGGAGCCGGAGCCTCCGGCATCCTGTCACGGTCAGCTGCCCTGCCTCTTCCTCCCATAGCATCAGCCTGAGCATGTCTTGATTGCTCAGGACCCTCAAGAGGAAACAAAGAAGGGATGCTCTACTTGGGTGGGCCCTGGCCCAGCTCTGCAACAGAGAGACTGAAGCTCTGAAGTAGGGCCCTTTTGCTGAGGCCAGCACCCTGCAGGCCCTGATTTATCCCCAAGGGTCTGGGATATTGGAGCTGATGCTTTAGGGGTACAATGGGTCAAGGGCCTGGTATGTGAGGGGAGCGGACACAGCCCAGACTCTGGCCCTGGTGTGAGGGAGCTTGTTTTGCTGGAGCTGTTCTTCTCCCAGGTGCTGATTCCCCAGCAGCAGCACCAGAGGGCAGTGTGCCTGTGCCGAGGTTGCTGCGCGCCTGCCTTCTGCCTGGTGTCTCACCTGGGTCTGGAGCAAAGTAAACATAGAAAAACAGCAAACACAACAATAATATTAGTTGCCATTGAGTTGGCTCTTACTCTTGGCAGTCTCCTTATATACAACAGAACAAAACATTGCCCGCTCCTATGCCATCGTATAACAGTCCTAATTTACTGGGTACTTGTTAGGGACCACACTGTGCCAAGTGCCTTCCAAACAATAGCTAGACATGCTGGTGAGTAAGTTGTTGTTATTAAGTGTCATTGAGTATGTTTAGACTCAAAGTGACCAATCCTGTGTAGGGT